ATTGGTTTTTCCGCATTAAAAGACATAAGAATGAACAAGGTTCGCGAGGAGGGTCGCAAACTCACAAATGACTACGGGTAGCAGCGTCATCTCGCGCGGTTAGCCTGCTGCTGCCTCGGCCAACGCCCGCACGCAAATGCGATCGAGGTCGAACATGCCTTGCTTCTGTGTATTCTGTGAACGACAGTCGATAGTACGAGTGTCTCGACGCTCAACAAAAAGCAATGAAAGAGGTCCGTGCGAAGTAACAAGTGCCGGTTAGGCCCGTTAACGATACTTACAATTCATTTCCGTCTCTAAATACTTCTTGCGCAACTTGGCTTTCCCCCCGTGCCAGCTCTCTTTTGCCATCTATTCGAGCTACTCTGGTCGACAACAGCGACAAATGACAAATAACTTGCACTGATCGCCACGCCGAAAAAATAGGAATCCCGCGCGCGCGCGTGCACTCACACGCACGCGCGCAAGATAGGATTTTTTATCGTCTCGTCGTTTCAGGTTAGTCAATGGCAAGTAGTACATGCGAGAATAAGACATTGACATTGAATAACTGCTTTTTTTAGAGGAAACACGTTTTTGCCTTTTATAAAATGAAAACTATCGGTTATCCAACAGCTAGGCCGGCGCGATACTTTCTAAATGAAGCAACTCGTCCGTACAGCGAAACCCGTAAGCCGCGATCTATCGATGATGCATTAGGTCTTTTCGCGCGCAACAATTCGTCGGCTACCCTGGCTGCTGCTGCTGTTTTAAGGGTATTTCAATTATTCCTCCGATCGCGCGCATTAGAATGTGCTCGAGCAATAGCAGTCGAAGGTACTCGTCGTGCGTGATTTGTTGGCGCTCGCTTATTCACTCGCCGTTTCAAGTAGAACGACTTGGCAGTCAATGCATCGCCACTTCCCTGCGCGCTCTCGCTCGCTCTCGCCTCAGATCTCGGCTATCTTACGTCACAAATGCAAAGCGACAACCGGTTTGCGCGCGCCGTTGACAAGTCACTTTGCTGCGCTATACGTTGCACGCCGGCTACTGCTGCTATACTATTACTATTACTTCTGAACCTTCTACTGCATTCGCACTGCTTATCCTAGCTCTTATACTCTTTTTTATCTTTCGTAGATTTATTAAACCTCCACGCCTAACTTTTCCGTTCTCGTTTGCAGTTGATAATGTTTTTAATATCTGTGCCCTTAGTTCACATGATCACTGTGTTTTTTATACCATTTTTTTTACCACAACTAACTTATCATCTAATTAATTTTCATTCTACTTTTGTATTTTGGGGAAAACATTATTCATAAAATTCAAAAGTTTCGTGTTCTTATCTGGTTATGCGACCCAAAAATTAGGCAACTTGCATTTATGCTTCTTTGATCTATATTCATGTACGTCTACGGGATAATTTGATCCATTCTGGAGATTAGATAAAAGGGGTACGATTGTTTGTATAATCAATCAAGGCAACATAAAATAAACTAACCGACTGACAAAACTTGAAGTTCATATCCTAATTCCGAATTTATCTACATATCCTACATCCGGATAATAATACTAGTTCATTTCGACTAAAACAGACCGTTTTCGCAAACGCTATAAATGACTATGTACGCCGATGTTAATATTTTCATCTCATCAAACAAATCAGATCCTTCGAATTATGTTACTTCATGCGATATAAAACTCGTTAACATTTTTTATAAGTGAATCACCATATGAATAAATGGAGCATTTGGTTAATTTCATTTTTCATTCCACCCACAGTATTGAATGCGTTGAAACAGCAAAAAGAGAATTTCAATTTACCAAGTTGACTAAATTACGCTATAGTTTAGTTTATTGAGAAAAAACATCAATAACTAAATAAAGCAAATGATAAGTGTTTATATCAATTTAGAGACTAACATTTGTATTTTAAGTAAGAAAGCTTATAAACCTAATGGTAAGCTATATGCTTTGATATGAAAAATTAACTGTCAAAAAATGTTTGTGTTGTCCGCTATACTGATGGTATGTTTCCTTCAAAAACAAGAAATATCGTCGTCTTTTCATAACTTTCAATCTTCCAACAGCAAAATGAAAACACGCATACATACAAGTTCTTTTGTTTTTGGTATGATAAAATAAAAATATTACCGTAAAACTTTTTTACCTCAAAGTACTCCGAATAAGCTTTAATATTTTTAACTAGTAGTATGCGCTCCACAAAGTCATGATACATATAGTCTTATTTACGGAAAATATATTGTATGATTCTGGACTTCAAAATGAACTGAAAATATTTTCTAAAAGCGTATTTTCATTAAGATTTATAACATGAGATAAGCGGAGTACTTTTTCAATAAATTTATTTTTCTTAAAAATTAATTTTTCGTAATTTAATGAAAAAAATTTGCTCAATTTGGAGAAAACTCATTTTAAAAGGTAAAAAATGAATTCATTGAAAAAGTGCTCCACTCATATCATAGTAGAAAACCTATCGAAAAGAATGAGCCCTTAAAAATGTTTTTAGTTCATTTTGACGTTTAGAATCGCACACGGCGTAAAATATTTTCCATAAATAAGGTAATATTATACAATGACTTTGTGGGGCGCATACTTTAGATTTTGAAAACTAATAGCTAAAAATAGTGAAGCATATTATTTTGAATATTTTTAAATATATAAAGTTTCACGGCAATATTTTTATTAGAACAGTTTTAACACGTATCAATAATATAAACTTTCAATTATTTCTGTTTAACACTAGTTGGTCTTTTTAAGTAAAAAAAAAGTAAGGTTTTCGAAGGAATATAATCCACCAATTCTGTGGGTAATAGGGGCCATCGAAACATCGAAATTTCGTTACATTCAATTACACCATATTTCTTTGTTCTAATAAGTCCTTTTGACTTGAAATTTCAAGAAAAGTTCAAAATCGCGGAAACGTACAAGTTATATTTATAACTTTTGTGACTTCACTTTGAGAAGTATGTGTGTTCGTATGGTTTATTTTACATAATTTTAAAAATAATTTCATGATCTGATTAAATACAGAAAGTTATGATTTTATAATTATGTTGTTACCGTGATTCCGGTAATTCGGATTCCATTTTAAGCTGTAGGTTTAGTCATGATGCGTGTAAAAACTTCTCCTCTCAACACCATTGCAAAAGTGGTAGGGAAGGTAAGTCTACATGCTAATGATTATAGGAAACCAAGACTAATACGCGCATGTACTTAGTACACCTCTGCAGCGTTCCACGTGAAAATAATTCTTGATGTAATAATAACAATAACCATTGGTCATCTATACGCAAACGTCAATATACACAAGTAATATTATTAAATAAACAAAAATCATAAAAAAACAAAAACATAATAAAAACAAAAAAAACATTAATAAATGAAAACAATAATATTTTTGTAAGAACTCTTCATATTGTAGTGTTCTTAGGCTTTTTAAATAGTAAATAAAATAATTTTATCATTTCATATCAATTTTAAAACGATTTCATTCAATGGTTCATATTGTGTGTGTAAATGTGTGTGTGTGTGTGTGTGTGTGTGTGTGTGTGTGTGTGTGTGTGTGTGTGTGTGTGTGTGTGTGTGTGTGTGTGTGTGTGTGTATAGCTTTAGATTTTTTTTAAACACGTTTTAGATTTTTTTGCAAAATAAAAATTCTTGCTAATTCGAAATGTTTCACAAAAAAATTAATAATCAAGTCTTGTAGCTGGACGACTAATAAATACAATGGTTTTTTTCTAATTTTTTGCAAATGTTTCCTAATGTACAGTCTCGTTAAATGTCTAGATGGTTATATTTTCTATTCTCACCTAACTATGAACCGTTTCCGCTTCGAAAAATCGGAAACAACTCTTTGACCTATCCGTATAAAGATTTATGGAAACCCATCAAGTAACAAAGTTATACAGATTGACAGAATACTCAAAGACACCAGAACAAACATAAAAAGTTTTATCTTCTCGAAACTTATGGCGAATAATAATTTCAAATGATCTTCATTGACCATATGTAAGAGTTGACAATACGTAAAATAATAAAGAAAAACTTAAATTCAAGACAAAAAAATATTCAATGAGAAAAATAAAAAGAATTACCAGAAATCTAAAAGTGTGCGAAAACAGATTTTTTAGCATTAAATTTACTCCATCAATAGAAATTCTTTAATATTCTGTCAGAACAGTGATCTCTAAAAATTGCAATGTTTTTGATGAATACTAAATTGACTGAATTAAATATTGCATTAAATAAATTTTACATACTTTTCTAGTTTATTGCCACGGGATTGTAAGTTAGTTTTTTGTACTGACAGTTTTGGTCTAATGCTTTTCAACCTACAATACCTCGTGAAGCTTTCAGTGTAACAAGATAATAGCTTTGTTACAAGGCTTAATCTTATAGGCTTAGAATCCCGAAACAGCGGATTACTGAGGTGGCAGAAAAGTAGTATATAGCTTTTTACAGTCAACATGATATGTGTCGTATTCAAAGACATAACTTGTTTTTATTTCGTGAACACTCTGAGTAATTATCTGAACGAATCCCTTGTACAAGCTTAGATCCCGGGCTTGAATTTGACATAATTTTGACGTATAAGAAATTGCATCATCTATACATGCCATACTCGCACTACTGGAAACGTTTATCATTATAAAATTTTCCGGATGTATAGAAATTAAGATTAGCAATTTTTTCAGGTAAAAAATTGTAGTATACGTATATAATCTTTCCAATGTGTGTTAATTACAGGATTCAGATAATTTGAAATATTTAAAAAGACAAAATAATTAATATTCTAGTTTGTATTTTTAAGCGACTTTTGATGTCGAATAATAGAAATTCGAGAGTTTTCTTTACCATTATATTAATGTTATTAACGTAAGATCAAGAAGGATTATTTATCATTTAATAAAGAAAATAATGAAATATGCATAGATTTGAAAGGAAAAGATTTATAATGATATATTTAAAAATCTGATTTATTAGCAAAATTAACATACCTTTCTGCATTTGGCCGTGTTCGGCATTCATTTTGGCCTGCAACAAGAAGTGCTGAGTGTCAACAAGTAGAGAAAATGCTCCATAGCAAATAAATGGTCATTACTTCATTTGAACTTTGTAAAATAACTCACCTCATATCCTTGCTTAGCTCCCCTCGCGCCTCCCCAATAATCGCTTTCTTTGTCGTGTGGGTTGCATTGCTGAAAATAAAAAAAAAACATGGTTTAATAATTAGTATTGGAGTTATAAAAAAATCAAATGAACTACTATAAGCAATTGCTTTTATATGGCAGCAAGTTATTCAAGTGACATTTGTTTATTCGATCGCATTCAAAAAGGTAAAAGATAAGAAGATTGAGAGCTGCGGAAGCAGGAGGGTGAGAGAGATATATATAAAGAAGACCTTAGTATTCGTAGGGGTTGCGTGGTACAATGTCGTCAGAGCTTCGACAGGAGAATGCCTTTTGAAAGGGTAGGGAAAAGTGGATCGAACGACAGGGAAAGGCAGAGAGAGATAGAAAATTAAAGCCTGCGGTGACCTTAAGAGTCGTCTAGTTTTTAGGCTGCTGATGAGATGTATAAGGCATGTATATATACTGCATAGTCGGCCAGGCAAATTGCTTTAACTTATACGCGCGATGGTGCATTCACTTGCGTATTAGTATTGGTTGAATGACGCGAACATAACTTGATCCCTAGTTGCACTTGCTTATCTCTCTCTCTCTCTCTCTCTCTCTCTCTCTCTCTCTCTCTCATTCCTAATAATTATTGAAATGAGCACTGATTTATTCTCGGGCGTACATAAAGAGAATCGCTATAATGAAATCTACTAATATCCTAGTAAACTTTACTAAATATAATTATATTTAGTATAAGTGTATATACCCTGTATATATATAAGTATAAGTATATATACCCTGGCGTATACTTAGATTATTATAAAATTTATTTAACTTTCAGTTATGTCTATTACGACCATAATAATTTTTGTACGACGATATTAAAAAGTTCATCATAAAAATTAAGAAAAATTATTACGATTTTTGCAACGATCATAGCGAAAATTACTGAGGTCAGATTGATGTCCCCTAGCACTTGCGCAGTAGCAATTGCACATTATTAATTTGATAATTTGCAGGGATCACATGAAGATGGCGGTTCAATTCTCACTACTGACGGAATAAATATTTGATGACTATGTAAAAAAAGTCAGTCTTAATCATGCATGCAAAAATGCTTGCTGTTTAAAGCGGCTAACAGGTCAACTGCGTATAATAGGTTAACTTGTGAACTAATAAATAGATAAGACGCGCAATATATACGTGTGTAGGTAATAACGGTAATGTATTGATGAATCGTATATGCCCTATTCCAAAGAAGAATTTCTAGATTAATGTGACCTACAATAATTTAAATGATATTCAATACTTTAATATATTTTGCCGAAGCAGTAAAAATTGCTATGCAGATGGTAAATTTAGCGAAGTAATCTCTTGTATTCTGCTTATGTAGTAATTACTATATGGCGATCAATAGTAAATATTAACGTTCTAAATAGTGAAAGTTCCAACATTTAAATGTTACTATGTTAGATAGTAACTTTTGCTGCAGTCAAGGTATGTTTTGTAGTAATTTTTATTACGGATTATGACAAATTTTGTAATATCAATTCTTTCAGCGTAGCTAATTTTATCATAAGAGCTTTCGGCCGAATGCGCTTAACGGCCCATTAATTCGTTTCCGCAGCTCGCTTTCCTCCTGGGCTTGCTTTTTTATTATGCATACACTTATAGGGTCAATTTCGCACTTGAAGCAGCCTGTGCTGCATTATGTAAAACTATTTTAAAATTGGTTCTAGTCCTTCGATAAAAGCTTTTAATTAGTGAAATTAGGATGTACAGTGTGGGACGCGTAAAAATAAACGCGCAAACTTGAGCAATCGCGCGGCGCATGTGAGGGGTAACGCTCGGTAATATTTTGGGGGCACGTTCGATTTCGAGCGTAATTAGAGCGGAGTAGAGAGAAATGGTTGAAATGGCGCGCTACGCGGAAAAATCGCGACAGTTGAATAGGCAAATAGTTTTGTGATTGCGCGCGATTAATTGAGCAAAGCTATCGGAAAAGCTTGTCAATGGAAATAATGCTGGCGGCTGAAAGAAAAGGTGCGGGTCGGTCGATGCGATGGAGTGTAAGAAGCGAGACACGCATGGAGCTTTGAGTCGAGAAGGCGAGAGGGGCTGCGAGTCAAGTCGGCGCGACAGGGAGAGCAGGGCTCCGGGGAAAATGGGGTCAAATCTGGAATTGGATGGCGAATGTGGGTAACGCAGGGGCGAACAAGCGAGCGGCGTTTAAAGTGGCTGTTGGCCAGAGTCTTAATTTGGGTATTTTGCTCTGTGTCTACTGAGCGTGAGGGGGGCAGCAGCAGCAGCAGCAGCAGCAACAGCAGCAGCAGTAGCAGAAGCAGAGGCAGCGAAGGACGTAAGTATATATTTAGGAAGTTTGAGGTTCCCTTGAAGCTTGACCGAGGCGCCCTTTGCCGCCCTTCGTCGCCCTTCGCCGCCCTTCGCCGCTCTTCGTCGCCGTCCTGCCGCGCTGGCGGCAAAGGCACTGGCTAGTGCTACAGGTGGCTCTTATAGCGCAAGTCGAGAGGCCGACCACTCGCGTGAGAAAATCTTGAGAAAGCGAGAGTCAGAGAGAGAGAGTCCAGCGCGCGTACGCAGTTTCAAAAACGCGCAGTGCAGGCACGAGGCTCGAGATTGCGCCGCAGCGAGCGAGTGGCTAGTACAATTACAGTGGTTTTCATCGAAAATGAGAAAGAGAGAGTACGTGTGCGTTGTCGAGGGCGAAGAGACGAAAGAGCGAAGGGGCAAAGGGGTAAAGGGGTGAAGCAATGGGCGCAAGAGAACCGAGGCTCGAATCGATAACTGGATAAAAAATGGAAAGGCGCGAGGCGGAGTGCTCGTACTCGGAGTACATAGTTGTAGCTGCTGTGTAGTCGGTGGAGAGCTGAGAGAGGGAGAAAGCGCGCTCGTCATGTAAAAATTGCTGGCGAGCTAGCGAGAGAGAGAGAGAAAGAGAGAGGGAGCCAGCAAAAAGAGGAGGAGAGCGTGTAGGCAAAAGAAACGAAAAAGCAGGCCGAGATAGAGGGATTAAAATAAAGGAAAAAAGCCAGCATGCAGTAGCAAGGCTGTGCAGTGGTGTGCACCGAGCATGGATACAGCAAGCAAAGAAAAAAGCGCGGGGATAGAATGCGAGCGAGAAAGAGAGAGAGAGAGAGAGAGAGAGAGAGCGAGCGAGAGAAGCAGGGGGGAGAGCCAAAGGCGCGATGTAAAGGGTACGAGAGAGGGAGACAAGCGACGGGGGACGGAGCAAAATAATAACGCGCACTGCTCAAACAAAAGGAGGAATCGAAGGATTTTCAGCGCTGTATTGCAGAGTGCGCATGAGGGGAGGGCTGTATGATATTTTTCGTATGCGAGAGAGAGAGAGAGAGAGAGAGAGAGAGAGAGAGAGAGAGAGAAGTGGAAGGAGGAAGGATAGACGAGGGCGCGAGAGGAGCCGATAGCAAAAGAACATCGACGCCGACGCTCGGCTAGCTACGGCCAGTGCAAGCGGGGCCTGGCGACGGCGTCGGCGGGGGCGGCGGGGGCGGCGGGGGCGGCGGCGGCGGCGGGGCAAGGAGCTCTTTAGCCGAGCAGCGTAGGTGAGCGCACGAGAAAAACAGAGAACAGGAAAAAGCTCGCTGGCCTGGAGAAAAAACGGAGAGACGCGAAAGGCTTGGGAGCGCGCAGGTACGTGCACGTGTGTCTGTCCCCGTAACGCGTTCGCAAGCTCGAGTTGCCGCGGCCAGGCGGAGAAGCAGCCGAGCAGAGCTCGCGTGGGGGCCCGGGACCGGCAGCGCCGGAGGGGAGTCGCTAAAAAATGCAGGAGCGCAGGCAGCAAAAAAAATACGAAATCCGAGTTTGCGCGCTCGCTGCACTTGTTCTCTCGCTCGCACTCGCGGCGGCCGAGTGCACGTACGTGGCCGAGATAGCGAGGGCGCATGCACATGCGTGACTCGGCGTCTTCGCTCGGGGGGAGAGAGCGACGTATTGATCAGCCAAAGAGCGCCGCGACGCCGGGCGTCCTTTCTGTGAGCCTTGCTTTTTTCGGCGCTCGCTTTTTCTCGCTGCCTCCCAGCCACCCTCTCGGCGCCCCGTCTCGTGCCGTCTCGCGCCGCGCGCGCTGCTTTCTCTCTCCCCGACGGCCTCGCGGCGTCTAGCTCGCCCCCGGCCCCGCCGCGCGCCGCCCCCGCGCACGCACACAGCGCCGCCGACGCGCTCGCTCACGGCCACGGAGCGGCGGCTGGCGTCCGAGCGCCCGGCTCGCCTCCAGACGCACCGCCGGCCGAACCAGCCTTTCCGAGTCCGGTCGAGACGTCGCGCCCGATGGCTGGCATCCTCGCCGAATGCCTGTCCATGCAACAGATTGGCCCGATTGCGTGGCGAGCGCGCCAGCCGCCGAGAGAAGCGGGATTGCTCCGCGGATCTCGGAGCAACGCCGAGCGGTGAAAGGAGGCGAGCGCTAGGCCGCGCCGACTGGGCTCCGATAGGCGCGCAGCTGAGCGTCAAGTGCGGCTCGACGCCCTTTGGCTGCCCCAGCGGAGAGTGGCAGTGGCACGCGGCTTTTTCTCCCATTATCGCCGATTGGAAGCAGCGCCTCGCCGCTCCGCGCCAGCTGCAAGCTGCCGCGCTGCCGCTGCTCTCTTGCGCTCAGGGCCTGGCTGGCGTACATCTGACTCCTGAAGCCGTTCGTCCGTGAAATTCAATGGCTCATTTTTCAATTAGCTCGCTCGCGTGCCGATGTGCTCAAGTCGGGGACAACTCCGCCTCGCTTTGGCGCTCTGGGCTCGGCGCTGCCTCGAGTCGCATAGCTCGTCGACTGCGTTGACATCATTTAGCAATTGACCCTGATGGCCGCTGCGGCTCGATCTCTAATAAACCGCTAATTACATTATTGCTGGACTACGCACCAGTTGTCGAGCATTAATCCATTAGGCCTCGCATTACGCCACTCGATTGATTCGAGCGAAACGGCTAAGTAGCAAAGTGGCTGTTGGATCGAACGACGATGCATCGGCGTCAATTTGTCGCCTGGCGTAGCCGAGCAACTGCTGCGGGCGATGAGAAGTGCCGACGGGCGAGCGTGTTTCGATGATGAA